ATGCAATCAAGTTAGTTTGACATGACCTGTGCTTCATAAAACAATGCTGATTTTTACTGATAACCACGTTCTTCAAGGAATTCTTGAATATTATCCCTTAATAACCTTTCAAATACTTTCCCAGCCACAGAAGTTATGCTCACAGGTCTATAATTTCCATTATAAATTAAATTAAATTATTTTAAACCCTTTTTGAATATAGGAACCACATCCGGCATCCTCCAATCCTCCGGAACACTTCCTGAAAGAAAAGAATCTTGAAAGATTAAAAACAGAGGTTCACTTATTGACACATTTATTTCCTTAAGTACTCGTGGATGAATACCGTCAGGCCCTGGCGCTTTGTTTATATTAACTTTCTTTAGTTGCTGCAGCACCTTGTCTTGAGTTAGCCAATTACAATTTTTCTGCACGTTTTTTGCAGCAATCATTTGCATATCTATTGCCATAGGTTCTTCCTTAATATATACGGAGGAGAAATAGTTATTTAAAATGGCTTCCTTTTCCTGGTCTTCATTAACTCCACCATTCTTGTTCTTAGTGTACCTATACTTTCATTTTTGTATGAACTTAAAAAAACGCTTTGGGTTGGTTTTGCACTCTTTGGCTATCATTTTTTCATTTTGAAGTTTAGCGACTCTAATCGCCTTTTTGCACACATTATTGGCTTCATTATATCTTTTATAAGATGCCTCTGATTTGTCCGGTTTAAAGGCTTTGAATGCCCTTTTCTTATTTTTAATATCTTGATTCACGTTCTCACTAATTGGTTTCAATGTGTTTCTTTTATATTTATTACACAATGGTACTGAGAAATGTACCTTTCTAATATTTGTTGGAAGATATTCCATTTATCCTCAGTGTTCTTTTCACTAAGGAGTTTGTAAAGCTCACCTTAACTTATTGAAATTGGCCTTTAAAAAATGATATGTTTTAGTACACCCAATGTGCTTTTGTTTTTTTGAGTTCATTTCAAAGGACACTATATTGTGATCACTATTTCCCAAGTGCTCCCCTACTTGAATGTTGGTCAAAAGATCAACGTTGTTTGTTAGAACCAGGTCCAGACAAGCGTCCTTTCTAGTTGGTGCTTGTACAAGTTGTGACATGGTGTCATTTAACAAGTTCAAAAACCTGATTCTCCTTACTGAACTACTAGTCCCTCTGTCCCAGTTTATGTCCTGGTAATTAAAATATCCAATAATTAACGTGTTACCCAGATTTGCAGCTTTCTCAATTTGCTCAAACAGCTGTTGTTCCTCATCACTATTAACATATAAAAATAAAAAAAAGAGAAATTAAGAGAAAACCATACAACTCACTTAAATGGTAGAGGAACAGTATTTTCTACCCAGATAGACTCTGGCAAGGCTTAGATGGTGACTTACTCAAAATTAGAGCTTGGCCCCTAGTAAAAAGGGTCATATCACCTCTACCAGGCAGCCAATCCGTGTATGCACTATACAAATCACATAAAATAGCAATATGCTATAATGCAACAATGAATTATGAAACCTTGGCGTGACAGTGAACATAAATTAATAAGACTATAACTGCAATAACACTAACAAAATAAGCAAACATCTAACAAAGTACGAGTTGAGCATGGGAGCAGGGCCAGATTAAGAGCCCAGTGGGCCTGGTGCTGACAATTATGACGGGCCTAATTACAGAATCATATCGACCAAAAACAGTAAAACACTCCCAAGCGTCATGTATCTGATGGAGAGAAAGAAAACAGCAGCCATAAGAAAACACATACCGTAGGCTAATCTCTCTCTAATTTATGTTTTCATCTTTTAAGTAAATCCATAACCCCTAACAGCAGTGTCCAGTCAAGCAGGAAGTCAATGGGTGGGGTAAAAGGGTGTGCCAAAATCAGCATTACCTTAAAGGATCACTATAGGGTCAGGAACACAAACATGAATTCATGACCCTATAGTGTTAACACCACCATCTAGCCCCCCTGGGCCCCTCATGCCTCCATAAATATAGCGAAATCTTACTATATTCAAGCCTGAAGCTGTAACCCTGCATGCTGTTAGACTCAGAAAAACAAGCAGTCTGCTGACATCATTAGAAGTGATGGCCTAATCCAATCACAGTGCTTCCCCATAGGATTGGCTGAGACTGACAAAGAGGCAGATCAGGGGCAGAGCCAGCATGATTCAAACACAGCCCTGGCCAATCAGCATCTCCTCATAGAGATGAATTGAATCAATGAATCTCTATGAGGAAAGTTCAGTGTCTGCATGCAGAGGGAGAAGACACTGAATGTTTGGATGCATTTTAGGCAGCCATGACCCAGGAAGGATCTCTAACAGCCATCTAAGGAGTGGCCAGTGAAGTTAACACTAGGCTGTAATGTAAAGACTGCATTTTCTCTGAAAAGACAGTGTTTACAGCAAAAAGCCTGACGGTAATGATTCTACTCACCAGAACAAATTCAATAAGCAGTAGATCTTCTGGTGACTCTAGTGTCCCTTTAACTATATTCATTGTCAGCCAGTCCACACAAGTTTTGTTCCCATACATCCCTCTTAAAGTTTCCATACTTAAGTAAGAGTATGTGAAAAGAGTATGTGCCACCTTTCTTGGAAAAACATACCGGCCATGCTAATTTGCATAATTAAATATGTATGGGTGACATCACATGATGTAAATCACAAGGAGTGACATAAGAGAAAATGCTGTAAAATCACCAAAAAACTACTTAGTTTGATTCTGCTGTATAGATGGATTCCTCCCAGTGGCCCCATGTCTCCCAGTGCCCCCATGTGTCGATTACTCCAGGTCTCAGTGTTCCTATGTATCAGTGTCTCAGTGCCCCATGTCTCCCTGTGTCCCCATGTATCCCAGGGTCCCCATGTCACTAGGAAGACGGGAAGACCTGGGGACACAGGGAGACCTAGGGACACAGAGACACCAGTGACACTGGGAGACTAGGGGACCCTGGCTGGGACGCATGGGGACACTGGGAAAATAGGGGACACTTGAAGACATGGGGACATAGACACCAGGGACACAGACACTGGCTGGGGGACATGGGGACATTGAGACATGAGGGCACTGGGAGACATGGGAACAAGGAGACACCAGGGCCACAGACACTAGCTTGGAGACATGGGGACATTGAGATACTTGAGGCACTGGGAGACATGGAGGCACTAGGAGACATGGGGACAGTGAGACACTGGCAGACTGGGGGCACTGGGAGACTAGGGGGCACTGAGACACCAGGGACACTGTGTCCCCATGTGTCTGTGTCATAATGTCTCCCAATGTCCCTTAGTGTCTCAGTGTCTGCCATGTCTCCCAGTGTCCCTTAGTGTCTCAGTGTCTGCCATAATGTCTCCCAATGTCCCTTAGTGTCTCTGTGTCTGCCATGTCTCCCAGTGTCCCTTAGTGTCTGCCATAATGTTTCCCAATGTCCCTTAGTGTCTCAGTGTCTGCCATAATGTCTCCCAATGTCCCTTAGTTTCTCAGTGTCTGTCATAATGTCTCCCAGTCCCCCTTAGTGTCTCAGTGTATGTCTCCTTGCAGCCTTTCCCCATCCCTTACTTCCCTGAGCTGTAGGCTGTCTCTGCAGGGTGGGAGTTGCTGTCTGGACTCTCTGTAGCTGCACCCCTGCAGATTAGTGAGTATAGATAGGCAGGAAGGAATATGCTGGAACTTCCTATCCCTGCCTCTCTCCATATACGGTGACCCCTACTGGCCAGTGCTGGTATTGCAGAGTAATCTCTTGTTTATACTAAGAAAAATACCAGCATTTGTATTGCCAGTATCACTGTAATATTGGCACCAGCCAGGCAGCCTCAAATACTGGCTGTGCCAATAAAATAAAAGCCAGGTGGACTCCCTATGAGTAGTGTGTAAAAAAAACAAACAACTTTTTTTTATTTATTTTTTAATAAATCAATGGGCCTATTCCATGGGTCTGGGCCTGGAGCTGCAGCTCCATCAGCCCCTATGTTAATCCGGCCCTGCATGGGAGGTACAATTCAATAGAATGGAAGCTCGTTTGAGCAGGGTCCTCTTTAACCCATCGTTCCTGTAAGTTTTCTTGTAATTGTCCTATTTATAGTTAAATCCCCCCTATTATAATGTAAAGCGCTACATAAATGCCAATAATAATAATTGAACAGTAATACTATAGGAAAGGGAGGTAAGAAGAGACATAATTGAGACCCATGAGCGACACCCCTTTCTGAGGCTTTCTGTTTAGCACCGCGGTGGATGTAGGTGGACATAGTGATCAGTCACCATATTTAACACTTTTGCTATTAGTGGTTTAAGCTCTTGACGTAGGCTCTTGAAGGGCATATTTATTTCTTATATATCTTTATCTGAGCTATTTTTGTCTTGAAAAGAAGCCAACAGAATAAGAGAGAATACAGAAATGATATTACACTTATTTTATTCAATTAATGGAATTTAAACTAATGATGTATAGCAGAGGGGAAAGCATGAATTGTAAATGCAAAGTATATTTGTACATACAGGTGAATGTGGAATATCATCAAGCTCTTGACTTCAATTAGAGCCCATGTTCAATTTATCACATTTCAAATGATCAACTTGTTCTAAATGCGTGTTTCAGACAACAAGCTAACTGATTTCTTTAAAAAAAAAAAAAAGTAGTCACATTTCAAAAGTTAAATTAAAAAGGTAAAAGTCAATAAAGCTCTCTATTTTGTACATGTCTTGCTCCAAGAATTTTACAGAAAACTGAGATGCCATTCCTTATTCTCGCATCTGTGCTTTTTCCCGTCAATTACCTTTAGCTGTATTCTGAGTGGCAGTGTGTTCAGAATACAGCTCTGAAATGAAATGCATACTTCAAAGAAGATTTTATAGTTATAGATTCTAACCTAATGGAATTTAGCTATTTTCTTAATTTAAAGGGACACTAGTCACCAATACAACTACAGCTTAATGTAGTGGTTCTGGTTTGTACAGTATGTCCCTGCAGGCTTTTTATTGTAAACACTGCCTTGTCAGAGAAAAGGCAGTGTTTACATTGCTGGCTAGTTACATCAATAGTGGTAGTCACTCAGATGGCCACTAGTAGCTGCTTCCTTGGTCAGCACTGCATAGTGTGCAGCACTGACGTTCATGGTCTCCACACTCTGCATGGAGACGCTGAACATTCTTCATAGAGAAGCATTGACTCAATGCATCTCTATGAGGAAATACTGTTTGGTGCAGAACTGCGATTTGCCGTGCATGCACAACAGCCTCCCAATGCATTCCAATGTAAAAAGAAGGATTGCATTGGGCGAGATTATCAAATTTTAGGATCTCAGCCAGAGATGCGGAGTTAGCCACAACAAGACCGGTCTGGCACTGGAAATAAGGTGAGTAAAAACCTATGGTGTTAAGGAGTCAAGCAGAGCCGTGGACTTAAACAGCGCATTTACAAATGTTGTGTCCGGAATAGGTTTGTAATCCGGACACTATAGTGTTCCTTTAAGAATCTGTTGTAAAGAGGATTTTTTCACTACAGACTACAATTAAAAGGACACTATATGCATGCATCTCAATGCATATGCTAGCCCTACAAGTGAAAACATTGCTGTTCTGCAGGAATGGCAATGTTTTCACTGAAGGGTTTAAATGCCTCTGGTGGCCGTCACTCCGACAACACGTAGAGGTGGTTTCTACAAAATAGCTTAGAGAAGCAAGTCTATTTAAAATTAGATCATTTCATAGAGACCATCTGGTTGGCGCAGCACAGAGTTTTGCCTTACATGCGCACTAGCCTTCCAATGATGTCCTATGGGATTGGCTGAGATAATTAAGCTTGAGTATCTCAGGAAGGAGGCAGGGCCAGCTACAGTGAGAAGCGCAGTGTGGTATAAAAGGGAAGTAATACCTTTTTTAGTCCTTGCAGGGGAAGGGGGGTGGAGGTCACTTAAACAGTGATTAGCACACGATAACATTAGGAGTACACATTTGAATTTCAATCGCTAAAAAGTTCCTTTAAATGTCTGTGATCAGGCATTCCTTTAAAGGAGTTATAGGAAATTTACCCCATACACGATAAGACTGATGACCATACCTCCACCCCTTCCAAAAAAAATAAATAAAAATAAAAAACCACAAAAACACATTAAATATGTTTCACTAGTTAGAATACTTGGTCTTTAGCTTGGTACTGCTAATTCTTTTTACTACCCACCACCTACATGTCCATGATAACTGACTATTAGCACTGCAGCTGTTTTGCACTACATTATCCATGATGTACAGGGATCCATTTAGCTAGCAGAGTATCATGCAATATGCAGTGAACAACTGCATTTACCAATGAATTGTGTGTATCATTTATTTCTAAAATGTTTATAAATTCAACAACCCAAATATGAATGAAATACTTTATTAACCATCACACAAAGAGTTGCTTTTTGTTAAAAAGACAAAAAAACACATTTTCTATCTTAACAGTCCATATATCAAATAAAAAAATACAAAAAAAAAAAAAAAATCAATACGTTTAATTTCTCATGGCCAGCATGGCATTAATATCCCAAATGAGATTCCTTAATTGATCCATGATTTGTTTCAGTTGCTGATTCTTCTGTTTTAATTTCTGTAAGAAAACAAACTGTAAGACATCCAGAGGATTGGGGATACGTTTCTAGAAAAAATAAATATTCCTTATTGCTGCCGGAGCTTCAGTTTCAACAAAACATCAACAGATGAACGTGTTATACGGTATATATATTCTATGGTAGAATATCAATGAAGATACTCACAATATATAGAGCAGTATTGCCCAGTCCCGGAATCCAGAA